GCCTGCAACGGGCCATCAGGTGACAGAAGGCGAGCGCCGACCGCCACCGCAGTGAGGCCCCGGTGTATGCACCGGGGGACCGGGTCTGGCTCTCGACCCGAAACCTGCCCCTTCGCCTGCCCTGCCGGAAGCTGGGTCCGCGGTTTGTGGGGCCATATAAAGTCCTGAGGAGACTGAACGAGGTATGCTATAGGTTACAGCTCCCCCCTGATTACCGTATTAACCCCTCGTTCCATGTGTCTCTCCTCAGGCCGGTGGTGGCAGGTCCACTCCAGCAGTTTGAGGTGCAGGAGGTTCCTCCGCCCCCTCTGGATATCGAGGGGGTCCGGGCGTATACTGTACGAGCCATCATGGACTCAAGACGTCGGGCGAGGGGCCTTCAGTACCTCGTGGAGTGGGAGGGGAACGGTCCGGAGGAGAGATGCTGGGTGCCGGTGGAGGACATCCTGGACCCTCCCTTACTGCAGGAATTTCACCGTCTCCACCCGGATCGTCCTGCGCCTCATCCTCCGGGTCGTCCCCGAGGCCGGTGTCTTGAGTGCCGAAGGGGGGGGGTACTGTCACGACTTCCGCCGAAGTTGGTGCCTCTCCTTGTGCGGGCGGCTATCGGCGGTCGTCATCACCGGCTTTCTAGCTGCCAACGATCTACGTTTCTTTTTCCATTTGTTTTGTCTTGATTGTACACACCTGGTTCCCATTGCATTATTATTTACCTATTTAACCCTCTGGTTCCCACATGGTTTTGTGCGTGTTTGTTCTTTGTTTTGTGTCATACTTTTATGTGAGCTGGTGTGTTTTCCCTGCGTGGAATTAGTGTTGTTTATTTTTCGGAGTAAAGTACGTTGTTTCCTCAGTTCTGTGTCCTGCGCCTGACTCCGTCCTACCGCTGCACATTTCACACTTGACACCACCAAAACAGGCTGAAATTTCAGGCGGTCTTTTCAAACAGCTCTTACACTAAAAGGGCATTATCATCATTTTCACAATTTTACAGTATTATTCCATACTTATAGTGTGGAAATATATATAAAACACAAGAAAATCAAGATTTTGACTGCACTGGGCCTTTAAGATAAGATGGCTGAGCACTATGACACTTCACTTCCAAACAATGGTTGTTTCTATATGCAGCTCCATACCATATTCACACTGTATGATGGTAATTAGCATTCCATTGAATGCTTGATGAGGGGGAAATAGGCAGAAGGCTTGTAGGCTTCTTGCAATCTTGTCTGTACATTGAAAGCTACCAATGCATTTGTCCATTCACTTGTGGGAATGCTGTGAGACTCTCGGGATTACTAGATGTACTTCACGCCCATTAACCAGGCATGAGTCCCAACCTCCGTAATATCTATTGAACTCGCTGGAGTCAATAGAGGCTGGTCCAACATTGGAAAATCAGTTGCTTCCCTCTCTGGGGAGGACCAATTGGGTTTCCCTTTCTTAAACACACCCTCTCTCTCTCTCTCTCTCTCTCTCTCTCTCTCTCTCTCTCTCTCTCTCTCTCTCTCTCTCTCTCTCTCTCTCTCTCCGAAAATCCAGGCCCGCTGGCCCATCCATCCATTCCTCAGAGCTGAGCCATCATCATCACTGTGTCAGAGGAACTAATCATGACCAATTACCGGGATTATCTTCTATTGATCTCAGCACACAGCACATCTGGCAGCCATCAGCCACCGTATAGATTGAGCTATCAGTTGGAAGCACGGTAGACAGCAGCCTGGCAGGCCAAAGGCTGATCTTAATGGCTAGACACCTAGCCAGGGCCAACAGGGTTGGCTGCGACCAGAATATTATGATGATCATCATCACCACTCAGCCTCTCTCTTCCAACCCTTGTTAGCAACAAGTATCAGATATTCTGTGGGAGGGAGCCAAACATCAGCCAAAATGGGAAAACATCTTTGGTGGAAAATCAGAGATATGTTGCTTCATCAATTTGACCAATTTTACCTGCTCTTCTGGGCGCTTGTGTCACTTTCTAGTACTGAACAGTATTGTAAAGTTATGTTACCACAGTATCGTAAGAATAACAACTCAAATCCAATGTGCCTTCACTAATACAGTAGTATGGAGGTAGTGTGACTGCATGGTGTGATGATTTAAGGGTCTTTCACAGATGATTGGTGAACATGTTTGCGGAGGAATTAGGTCAGTCAGATGTGACATGTACTGTAAGGCGACACAGTGTGCCACATACAGAGCCCACAGCCATGGATGGGGCTTTGGCTGTAAACAGGGCATGCTAAAGTAACCCAAGGGGATTCTTTGCAAAACAAACAATTCCTGACCTTGTGATCACGTACACTGCAAGATCCACTTACAGACATAGTGCTTCCAAGTCTATACGGGACAGAATGTTTTTTCAGTCTTGTGTATTTCTTTTTCATGTCATGTGCAACTCATTCTTGTTTGTTTTTTGGGCAACCTGGTTATTCTGAGAACATAGGGCAAATTCACAATAAAGACATAGAGGTTTTTAAATGGCAGGATGCCAGGCAATACTTTTCCTTTGACAAATATTTATCCTGACATTACAGGGACACCAGAAACACTGACACTGGGTCTTGTGTCTAGTGTTTTGGTTGACTTTTAATATTGCTGCAGAATGTTGTTTTGATAATGTTATCAGTGCTATGCTGTTCCATTTTAGAGAATGAAAACCCCTCTGTTCTGTATGTGCTCTGCTTGGCTCTGCTGTGCTTGGCTCTGCTCTCCTGTGCCACACCGTGCTGTGCTATGCTGTGCTATGCTGGCGTCTAGCTATTGAATGTGCCTCTTGTACCTCTCTCCCTACAGAGTGTAACATCTTGATTGAAAGTTGTCTGATAATGTCTGTGTGTCTCTGTCCTTGTCATTAGGAGTGCCATGATTGCTGACTGGGTGTACTGGCTGTCCGGGGCCTCAGAGGAACACATAAGCAAGCTCATCAAACTGTATTGACAGGTGAGAATGGATGGCCCAGAGTAGAGAGGAAAGCCCAATGAAGGATTATTGCTTTAAAGACTGTCGACTGAGGTAGCTCTTAGCTTATCAATCAGGCAGAATGCTGCATAGCAGTAAACTGTTTATAAGGAACCAGAGCACAGCAGGGTGACGCCTAGTGAACCTAACCTCAACACTGGCAAGCAAAGGTCATCCATGAATCAGCCTAGACTACTGTATGGTTACACAAACATTGTCCACTCTCTGATCTAATCTTAATTACCTCAACTACTACTATCAGGGTCGTTTCACAAAAGGGTGCCTTTTGCGTCCCTTTGATATTTTAAGTAGAAATTGTGCATCAATATTGAAGCCTGTTATATTAAACGAAGTGCCCTTTAATATAGTACTGAACATAAACCCCAAGCTTTTACATGAGTTTCCATAAGATGTTGGAGGTTGGCAAAGAGATCCATGCAAACATACAGGAAATTGCACTCGCTGAAGTTACTTTTTTGCACTTCAAGTTTAGCTGAGGAAAGGCGCAGAGTTTTAATTCTAAGGGCAAAATGAATGTCTTTGACCTTGAAATTGGGTTTGTACAGATCTGCATCCAAGCCATGATTTGCATTCGCTTGAAGTGAGATGAGTACGGGATATCTTTAAGTATACAGTACATCAAGCACCTTCCGTTTAATTCATTTCTTTCCCATGTGAATTTCGATACATCTGTGTGTTTATCCTGACGGCCCTTAAAAAGCGTGCATTTCCAGCTCCCAACATCACAAACAGCCTTCTACCCACTCTGGGTTTCATGTCCCTCGGTGAGAGGCCCAGATTTAGAACCACACTACCTCCACTTTTAATGTTTCCTTTGTCAAATTTGTAGGTGATAAACTTCTGACCAGTACTGATTCAAAGGAGGCATTTTGTATCCTTTTTTGTAAAGATTTTAATGGATAATCTTTTCAGCCAACTAATTCCATATTTTAATGCCATACTTTCTCATTCAACATGCACATGAAAATGTATGTTAATAGAAGATCTGTTAGGGTCTTGGCTGTGGCATATGTTTCATTGTGATCAATTTTCTTGCCTGCTGACAAATGGCTCAGAAATTCTACATTGCTACATCAAAACGCTACAACCCCAAATTGATTCAATAGGCGTAAGTACTTTAGGGAGATAATGTTATGTTTCTCTAGGTAATCAAACTTATGAAGCCTTAGCTCTTTCTCCATTTGTATCAACAGAGTTAAGGTAACTAAAAGTAGCTAGCCATCTGAAAATAGGAAACTCAAAACGAATGTATTCACGTTACTGTAATCTGCTTATTCTAATGCCATACGAAATAATAAGAGTTGAATAGTCTTGTAGGGTATTCTTTTTATAAAAAGCAATGCATTGTTCACCATTTCTCTTTAGTTTCAGACAAATGTCAAAGGTTATGGGAACGCCAAAGCCATAATAATCCCCAATCCATAATCTGTGTCACGACTTCCTCCGAGGCTGCCTCCTCTCCTTGTTCTGGCAGGCTTCGGCGTTCGTCGTCAACGGCCTTCTAGCCACTGCCGCTCTTCATCTCATCATTCCATTTGTTTTGTCTTGTTTATTACACACACCTGGTTCATATCCCCTCATCAGTACCTGTATAAGTGTTCCCTCTGCCCCTTGTCTTTGTGTGTGATTGTTTATTGTGAGGATAGTGAAGCTCGGTGGAGCTCCTTGTATTTTGTATCGCCGGGTTATTTTTCCCTGTGTGCCTTGTTGGTTCCAGTGCGCCTGTTTTGCGCACTGGACTGTTTTGACGCTTTACTGCGTAACTCTGTATTCCGGAATAAATCCTGTTATTCTGTGATTTACCCTCCTGCGCCTGACTCCTTCAAATCACCCATCACAATCTGTTCCCTTTCATTCTGAGTGGATTTAAATGGGGAATAGATTAGTCCTGAAACAGTGTTAGTTTCCCAGTTGTAATGTTTTATTCATCACAACAATCCAACGGAAAGCATAACATTGTGAAAAATTCGTAGACATTTTCTTGTTTTAAGTGTATAATTTTTTACTATAAAATGCTCCAGTCCACAAAGCACAGAAATCAGTGAGAGCAAATGCAACATTTCATGGCCAAATCAGTAGATATACTGTAGCAGCTCTTGTAGCAGCCTGAACATTTGTATTCAACATGAATTAGCTCTGCTTTTAGTAACTATAATCATTTTAGGAGTTTCCACCTCTGAATAAGGATATCAGGGAAATGAGTCACTTTGATAACAATGGTGCTCTCTCACCCCTCCTCCTCTTTATCCTCTGCTCCCTCTCTTCCCTCCCTCTCATGACTCCACATCCCCAGGCTCTGTTGGACGGGCGATCACCATGGAGGAAGGTTTCTCTGTCATGTAAAACCCAAGCTCCGCCGGGGACTTGCCAAGGATTGCATTGCCAAGGCTGAGGAGACCTTCAGGAAACAGCACCCTGCCTTCACAGACTACCTGTTCACAGGTATGGAATATAGACTAAGGGGAATGAGAGAGAGGCATAGACTCTCATACTGCCAGTGCCTTAATTATCTGGCCCTGCCTTCACATCGCCTCATCTTTCCCGCATCCCCTCCTATCAAAACGAAGGCATATCTACAGATCCCTGCCGATTTCATATAAGCCGCCCTCCCCTACCATGATTTAGCCACGTTAGCATGTTACCTCCCCATGGGCTGTATCTTAACCCCTTCATGCGCATGGGTTCCAATTTGAGAGGCGCTGTTCCAGTAACTCTTAATCATCCTCTGCACTGAGACATGGGCCCTGACTGGTGCATGTGTCCGTGGGCAGATTACCCAGACTGCCATGGGCTAGGCTTGAGCTGCAGTGTCCAGGGAGGTAATCAGCGGGAATGGTTGGCAGCGGGGAGGAGAGGGGGAGGTGGAGGGTAGAACCCAGACGGTGGATGAAAAGGGCTGAGAATCTCTGATGGCTTTGATTAAAGTCAGACTTGTGCTCAGTTCTCTGCTTCCACCCAGCCAGGATAACAAGCCAGGCCAGTAACCCCCAGTGAAACAGGTCAGTGGTCAGAGGAGGGCGCTCTCTGGACTGGGCTCATCAATAACACCACACACACAGGTTAGGTAGAGATACACACACACACAGGCAGGCAGGCAGGCAGTGCTCTGATCAGCTCTCCACGGCCACCTCAACCCACTGTAATCATCAATATGTAATCATCTTTGTCAGCAACAAGAACTGAACAATGGGAAAGAGAAACATTCACTTGAGTTGCTCCATAAGTGTAGGCTCCTGTACATTAGCCACAGTAATACTGTAATAACACTCAGTGAGTGTGTTTCTGAACTATTGCTTTATGTATTGTACATTCACCATGGAAACTCTGTGTTCATGGACACAGCAGGGAACCCATCATCCAACCATCACCACTCTGTGGGTGAGTCTGTCTGGGTGGATCCTTTTAAGGCTAATAGCATTCATGTAACGTTGACCCAAGGGTCAGCAATGCCATGAAAACAACCCAAATGAGTGAACAGGTTTTGGGAGCAGAGCAGCCATGGTGGGGGGACACTGATGACCATACAGTAGGCTACATTCACGGTCCCTCTCTTTGAGGGTCATTGTCGGTCCCCCTTCAAACCAAACTGCATCCCAAATGGGTCCCTATTCCCTATGAGGCCTCATCAAAAGTAGTACACTAAATAGGGAATAGATTGCCATTTGGGACGCTGACAGTTGTAATCCAATCATTGGAATTCCCTGGAGAACACATCCATCCCCTGCTGTGGCTTGTGTCAACATTAAACTTTGCCTCAGGGGATGAAAAAGGCAATTTCCCAATTTCCACGCATTCATGGAACACATAGAGACAGTAACATATGAAAGGGCTGACATTTGTGTGTGGTATTGAATACAGTGGGGAAAAAAAGTATTTAGTCAGCCACCAATTGTGCAAGTTCTCCCACTTAAAAAGATGAGAGAGGCCTGTAATTTTCATCATAGGTACATGTCAACTATGACAGACAAAATGTGAAAAAAAATCCAGAAAATCACATTGTAGTATTTTTTATGAATTTATTTGCAAATTATGGTGGAAAATAAGTATTTGGTCAATAACAAAAGTTTCTCAATACTTTGTTATATACCCTTTGTTGGCAATGACACAGGTCAAACGTTTTCTGTAAGTCTTCACAAGGTTTTCACACACTGTTGCTGGTATTTTGGCCCATTCCTCCATGCAGATCTCCTCTAGAGCAGTGATGTTTTGGGGCTGTCGCTGGGCAACACGGACTTTTAACTCCCTCCAAAGATTTTCTATGGGGTTGAGATCTGGAGACTGGCTAGGCCACTCCAGGACCTTGAAATGCTTCTTACGAAGCCACTCCTTCGTTGCCCGGGAGGTGTGTTTGGGATCATTGTCATGCTAAAAGACCCAGCCACGTTTCATCTTCAATGCCCTTGCTGATGGAAGGAGGTTTTCACTCAAAATCTCACGATACATGGCCCCATTCATTCTTTCCTTTACACGGATCAGTCGTCCTGGTCCCTTTGCAGAAAAACAGCCCCAAAGCATTTTCCACCCCCATGCTTCACAGTAGGTATGGTGTTCTTTGGATGCAACTCAGCATTCTTTGTCCTCCAAACACGATGAGTTGAGTTTTTACCAAAAAGTTCTATTTTGGTTTCATCTGACCATATGACATTCTCCCAAACTTCAGACGGGCCTGGACATGTACTGGCTTAAGCAGGGGGACACGTCTGGCAATGCAGGATTTGAGTCCCTGGCGGAGTAGTGTGTTACTGATGGTAGGCTTTGTTACTTTGGTCCCAGCTCTCTGCAGGTCATTCACTAGGTCCCCCCGTGTGGTTCTGGGATTTTTGCTCACCGTTCTTGTGATCATTTTGATCCCACAGGGTGATATCTTGCGTGGAGCCCCAGATCGAGGGAGATTATCAGTGGTCTTGTATGTCTTCCATTTCCTAATAATTGCTCCCACAGTTGATTTCTTCAAACCAAGCTGCTTACCTATTGCAGATTCAGTCTTCCCAGCCTGGTGCAGGTCTACAATTTTGTTTCTGGTGTCCTTTGACAGCTCTTTGGTCTTGACCATAGTGGAGTTTGGAGTGTGACTGTTTGAGGTTGTGGACAGGTGTCTTTTATACTGATAACAAGTTCAAACAGGTGCCATTAATACAGGTAACGAGTGGAGGACAGAGGAGCCTCTTAAAGAAGAAGTTACAGGTCTGTGAGAGCCAGAAATCTTGCTTGTTTGTAGGTGACCAAATACTTATTTTCCACCATAATTTGCAAATAAATTCATAAAAAATCCTACAATGTGATTTTCTGGAAAAAAAATTCTCAATTTGTCTGTCATAGTTGACGTGTACCTATGATGAAAATGACAGGCCTCTCTCATCTTTTTAAGTGGGAGAACTTGCACAATTGGTGGCTGACTAAATACTTTTTTTCCCCACTGTATACTGCTTATGGCCGGGTGACGCCCTGTAGCACACTACAAGACATGAAGACACTATTTCTATTTCAGTGTATTGTGAGAATAACAATCATACTGTATCTGTCTCTCACACATACTGTATATTATATTAGTCCTGAATTAAAGAAAATGGATTGGATTCTGTTGATTTGAGAGGAACATGGTAGTACCTATTAGAGTTGCTTCAATGCAGTGTAGAGATTAAGATTTCACTCGAATGTACTCATTTAAATTACCCAGCCCTCCTGTTCCCCTCTGCCTGTCCCCCAGACCCCAGTGGAGGTCCACTGCTGCCCCAGACCACAGAAAGGGGTTGCAGATGATGTAGAATATTGAAGTATGCAGCAACATATTAAAGTGTGCAGACAGATAGACAGTGACAAGTCACAGAACCCACTTGACGTCACACAGCGGGGTGCGACTGTGACTGTGACCTAGCCCTTGATCTGGTGTTCATGTCACACTGTCAGCTCTTCGTCCTCACAGCACCTTCATAATCACAACACCAAAGAGATCACACACACTCTCTAAAATACACACACACAAACACTCTAAAATACACACACACACACACACACACTCTTCAGGATGAACAAACAGAGCAATGCAGCTGAGGGACATTGAATATTCAATAAGACTATGCAGGCAGGCAAGGTTGTTGTTGCTCAATAGTACCGCAGGTTTATAACACTGGCTTAGATTCTGGTATGGAAATTGACCATAGGCTTTCAGTTCATTACCTTACTCAGCTGGTAATTTTGGGATTAGTAGATTTGTCATTTGACCCCAGTCATCTTGCAATCATTACGTCAAGGGGAGGTGAAATATTGACACTGGTTGGATGGAACAGAAATAAGAGAGATCTAGCTTCTGTGTTATACATTTACATTACCCTTCACAAGGTCTTGTGTTTTGTTTTTACATACTGGTAACCAGAGTCGTTCAAGGGAATTCGGGACATGGGTGACTAGTTAACGTTAGCTTGGCTCTCTCTGTGTGTTCGTGCCGTGGGAGGAGGGGTTTTTTCGTTGGCAGAGAGCAATGGCTAGCTAGTATGCTAACTATTCTAGCTAACTAACTGGCTGAATAAGTTGACGACGTACTCACTCAAACTGTCAAAATTAACCCAGAACTTTACACAACGTTAGACACGGACATGAATGATCTGCTTGGCGTGTTGACACACTGGTGGTTTGTTGTGGCCGAGTATTGGTGCTAAACCGTGTTGTTGGAGGCTGGCATGCTAGTTGGCTGTGGCGTCATAGGATTCAGTGCCCTGGACGGTTTTCACGGAAGAATACTGTACCAATTTAGCTAGCTGAATAAACTAAGTTACTCTATCCCTAGAAAACATTGAACCGCTGTAGTTTACAACAATTATAGTTTCTGAGGTGGAAGTTGGGAGAGTTATATTTGGGTGTTTCAGTGAAACGTAAGTGAGGGAGGCCCCGCTCTCTCGCTTTCTCAGATGTTTAGTTAATTTCATTCCGATCTCCTTTGCATTATTGTAACCATTTTCTGTAGCCTGTCAACTATGTGTCTGTTTATCCCTGTTCTCTCCTCTCCGCACAGGCTATACAAACGCCTCACACCGCGTGTCTGCTGCCACTCTAACCTGGTGGTCCCTGCACGCACGACCCATGTGGACTTCCAGGTCTCCGGCAGCCTCTGGAACTGCCGTTCTGCGGCCAACAAGGCAGAGTTCATCTCAGCCTATGCTACCCTCCAGTCCCTCGACTTCTTGGCGCTGACGGAAACATGGATTACCACAGAAAACACTGCTACTCCTACTGCTCTCTCCTCGTCTGACCATGTGTTCTCGCATACCCCGACAGCATCTGGTCAGCGGGGTGGTGGCACAGGAATCCTCATCTCTCCCAAGTGGATATTCTCTCTTTCTCCCCTGACCCATCTGTCTATCTCTTCATTTGAATTCCATGCTGTCACAGTCACTAGCCCATTCAAGCTTATCATCCTTATCATTTATCGCCCTCCAGGTTCCCTTGGAGAGTTCATCAATGAGCTTGACGCCTTGATAAGTTCCTTTCCTGAGGATAGCTCACCCCTCACAGTTCTGGGTGACTTTAACCTCCCTACGTCTACCTTTGACTCATTTCTCTCTGCCTCCTTCTTTCCACTCCTCTCCTCTTTTGACCTCACCCTCTCACCGTCCCCCCCTACTCACAAGGCAGGCAATACGCTTGACCTCATCTTTACTAGATGCTGTTCTTCTACTAATCTCACTGCAACTCCCCGCCAAGTCTCCGACCACTACTTTGTATCCTTTTCTCTCTCGCTCTCCTCCAACACTACTCACTCTGCCCCTACTCAGATGGTAATGCGCCGTCGCAACCTTCGCTCTCTCTCCCGCTACTCTCTCCTCTTCCATCCTATCATCTCTTCGCTCTGCTCAATCCTTCTCACTCCAATCTCCTGATTCTGCCTCCTCAACCCTCCTCTCCTCCCTTTCTGCATCCTTTGACTCTCTATGTCCCCTATCCTCCCGGCCGGCTCGGTCCTCCCCTCCTGCTCCGTGGCTTGACACCTCATTGCGAGCTCACAGAACAGGGCTTCGGGCAGCCGAGCGGAAATGGAGGAAAACTAGACTCCCTGCGGACCTGGCATCTTTTTCACTCCCTCCTCTCTACATTTTCTTCCTCTGTTTCTGCTGCTAAAGCCACTTTCTACCACTCTAAATTCCAAGCATCTGCCTCTAACCCTAGGAAGCTCTTTGCCACCTTCTCCTCCCTGCTGAATCCTCCTCCCCCTCCCCCCCTTCTCCCTCTCTGTGGATGACTTCATCAACCATTTTGAAAAGAAGTTTGACGACATCCGATCCTCGTTTGTTAAGTCAAATGACACCGCTGGTCCTGCTCACACTGCCCTACCCTATGCTTTGACTTCTTTCTCCCCTCTCTCTCCAGATGAAATCTTGCGACTTGTGACGGCCGGCCGCCCAACAACCTGCCCGCTTGACCCTATCCCCTCCTCTCTTCTCCAGACCATTTCCGGAGACATTCTCCCTTACCTCACCTCGCTCATCAACTCATCCTTGACCGCTGGCTTTGTCCCTTCCGTCTTCAAGAGAGCGAGAGTTGCACACCTTCTCAAAAAACCTACACTCGATCCCTCCGATGTCAACAACTACAGACCAGTATCCCTTCTTTCTTTTCTCTCCAAAACTCTTGAGCGTGCCGTCTTTAGCCAACTCTCTTGCTATCTCTCTCAGAATGACCTTCTTGATCCAAACCAGTCAGGTTTCAAGACTGGTCATTCAACTGAGACTGCTCTTCTCTGTGTCACGGAGGCTCTCCGCATTGCTAAAGCTAACTCTCTCTCCTCTGCTCTCGTCCTTCTAGACCTATCTGCTGCCTCCTCCTTTCCCCCTTCTGATAACCAGGTGGTGAATCGCATCTCTGCATGTCTGGCAGACATATCAGTGTGGATGATGGATCACCACCTCAAGCTGAACCTCGGCAAGACGGAGCTGCTCTTCCTCCCGGGGAAGGACTGCCCGTTCCATGATCTCGCCATCACGGTTGACAACTCCGTTGTGTCTTCCTCCCAGAGTGCAAAGAACCTTGGCGTGACCCTGGACAACACCCTGTCGTTCTCCGCTAACATCAGGGCGGTGACCCGATCCTGTAGGTTCATGCTCTACAACATTCGCAGAGTACGACCCTGCCTTACACAGGAAGCGGCACAGGTCCTAATCCAGGTACTTGTCATCTCCCGTCTGGATTACTGCAACTCGCTGTTGGCTGGGCTCCCTGCCTGTGTCATTAAACCCCTACAACTCATCCAGAACGCCGCAGCCCGTCTGGTGTTCAACCTTCCCAAGTTCTCTCACGTCACCCCGCTCCTCCGCACACTCCACTGGCTTCCAGTTGAAGCTCGCATCTGCTACAAGACCATGGTGCTTGCCTACGGAGCTGTGAGGGGAATGGCACCTCCGTACCTTACGGCTCTGATCAGTCCCTACACCCAAACGAGGGCATTGCGATCATCCACCTCTGGCCTGCTGGCCCCACTACCTCTGCGGATGCACAGTTCCCGCTCAGCCCAGTCAAAACTGTTCGCTGCTCTGGCACCCCAATGGTGGAACAAGCTTCCTCACGACGCCAGGACAGCGGAGTCACTCACCACCTTCCGGAGACACTTGAAACCCCACCTCTTTAAGGAATACCTGGGATAGGATAAAGTAATCCTTCTACCCCCCCTTACCCCACCCAAAAAAAATAAAAAAATAAAAAATAAATAATGTGTAAAGTGGTTTTCCCACTGGCTATCATAAGGTGAATGCACCAATTTGTAAGTCGCTCTGGATAAGAGCGTCTGCTAAATGACGAAAATGTAAAATGTAGATGTCTCCCGAGTGGCGCAGTGGTCTAAGGCACATTGCAGTGCTAGCTGTGCCACTAGAGATCCTGGTTCAAATCCAGGCTCTGTCGTAGCCGGCCGCGACCGGGAGACCCATGGGGCGGTGCACAATTTGTCCAGGGTAGGTAAGGGAATGGCCAGCAGGGATGTAGCTCAGTTGGTAGAGCATGGCGTTTGCAACGCCAGGGTTGTGGGTTTGATTCCCACGGGGGGCCAGTATGAAAAAAATTAAATAATAATGTATGCACTCACTAACTGTAAGTCGCTCTGGATAAGAGCGTCTGCTAAATTACTAAAATGTAAATGTCTAGAGAGCATACAGTAGAGACTTTGAAGAATTGACTCAGCTGCTAACAAAAAAAAGATATGTGTTGGGGGAGGGAGTGCTTGTTCCTCAGTAGAGGACAGGGCAGACAGAGATGAGGAGGTCAGCTGTGCTGTAGTCGTGATGGGAGTGTGTTGTGCTCTGTTAAAAGGGATGGGGGAAATTGATGCCTTTGTGTAACGTATCAAATTGATGCCTTTGTGTAATGTATCAAAGACATGGGCACTGCATGGGTTTGTTAAGCCATCGGTCACTTGCCCCTGGCGCAGGGGGGTGGGTTGCTGCCTCTGAGCTCACCATAAGGGGATGTCACCACTGCAGTCCTGTGTGTGTACTGCTGCTGCTCTGTGTGAGTCACAAACACAGCACCAGACACACCATCAATCCTGCATCTCTGATGAAGGACAGTAGCCTACTGTACATTGTTATTTTGGATGAAGGAACTGGGCTATATAAGACATTGAAAGACCAGCGATACAAAATGAGGTACTATAATTGATAGTGTGTTAAATGTTAAGCATTGATTTACAGCAATCCATCATTTCCGTGTGCTAGAGTAAGCTGAGGTTGAATTGTCTGTAGACATTGACTGTATTGTTTGTTTATTTTGAAGGACCCAGAGCCCCATTCAGCCCCTGCAGCCCAGAGGACATGGAGAGGCTGTGTGAATGCATTCAGCAAGTGGATCCTACCCATCTTAGATTTTATTAAGTGCACCAAACTAGCTGTGGGTATACTGTTACATGCTTTGAGTGGAGGAAAACGGAGCAACCATACTTGATAGAAATATGGAAGGTCCTAAAAAGAGTGGTGCTGGACTGGTAAACAGTCCTGATAGCAACAGAAGGTGCTGGGTGTCATTGTGCTGGAACACCATGCACCGTCTACATTATCTATCAATTACCCTCTCCTCTCGCTAAGCACAGGCAGGATGCTGTGGAAGTAATCACGGCTCGGTCGTGGCTAGGTTGTTATGGACTCATTTCCCGGTGCCTTGGTAAGAGGCTGGAAGGCAGCAGTGTAAAGAGATGGAGTAGCATCTGCTGTGATGTCTAGCTTATCAAGTCAGAACTGTCTGTCATATTCTCCTAACAAACAGCGGTTGTTCAAAGGCATCACAGAAACTCTAGCTTCATTTCAAATGCTTTCTCTCATATTTTGTACCATGATAGCAATTTATAATTTGTAAATGAGTCGTTTATAATTTAATGTCGCAGTAGTATACCCACTTATCTCTTAAAGTTCCTGGAATTGGTGGAGTAAGAGAATGTTTTGTAATATTCTCAAATGTTCTGTAATAATGGTACCAATGGTAATTTATTTTAGCTCGTTATCAGGACATAATGTGGATCATGATTGCGACATTTTCAAAGACTACATTTCCATAATGCAGATGGATTGGAGTTCTAGGAGGACTGTGGTTTCCTTGATGTCTTTTGTTGCTACTTGAATCATCCTTATACAGAGGAACACCATAGAGACATGTAAAAGCAAAGTACAGGTTATGTGGAGAGCAGAACTAAATGTACACAAGGCACAGCTCTTTGAGATCTGAGAGGAACTAATGATAGAAGCACTTTGAAAATGATCCTTTGGTGTCCTCTTATCTGCAATACATGTATTCACTCATAGCAGCTCTCTCTTGCTTACCTGAAGAGAACCACACTCATACACACACACACCTTTCTACCCACTTATGTACTATAGCCATTAGTTGTATGGCTGTTCAGTGATGAACTACGGTATGTGTTTGAAAGGAAATTAGCAGTAATGAAAGGAGTAGCATTGAGCTTCAGAGTGGCTTGTAACAAACTTAGTGGGGAGATTGTTTGCACTGTTGTTGTTGTTGCCGTGGTTGTTGTTGTTGAGATGTACTCTGTGCTCATCCCTAGTCATTTGAGTGCTCATTTCTTGCAGTATAGGACAGACCAGGTCCTTGATTGGTGTGCTGTGTCTCTGGATCCTGTCTCGGGTTTACTAAGCAGCATGTGGCCTGAGGTAGACACACAATCGTAACACACACACATATACACACATACACAGAGACAGAGAGAGAGAGAGAGAGAGAGAGAGAGAGAGAGAGAGAGAGACACACACAGAGGGAGACACACAGAATCACATAGACAGAGAAAGATACACACAGAGAATCACACACACACAGAATGAGAGACACACAGAGAGAGACACACACACGCTGTTCTCCCCCGTGGCCCCCCAGCAGCACGGCTGCAGATTGAGCAGACTCCAACACCTCGCCACCACATAGATGGCCCTGTCACGGAAGAACACGCTCTCTCCTCCCGCTGCTCTCAATAATTCAACAGGCTGATCACCAAGCCCTTTCTTCTCCCCCTAAGATGGGCAGTGCAAACTGAAGAGGATATTTCATTTGGAACCGAACAGCAGAGCTCTGGCTGTCGATTTCAGGAGCATTGTGATTCTATTACATCTGCGTGAAATGCAGAGAGACACAATAGTTATTAAATTATTCACTCTGCAGCTGAGAAGGCTCGAGAAAATCCTATTATGTTGCTATTGAAATAACTTGATCTCTCATCTGCATCTGACGAAACCCCTTTCATTCTGTTATGAAGAATCTAGACAAATTCAGCTTGAACACCCTCCAACAATCAGTGTATAATTGTTTGATGTGTGCTGCATATATTTGGTAGAGCCTTGAAACACGCAATGCTAAATTATGTGTAATTTTGAAATGAGGATGGGTTTTTCGCGTCTTCTGCTTGAGATGAGTATTTTAAAAGATTTGTTAATGAAATACATCTGCATATGTTCTGGGTCAGGGTTAAAATCCTCATATAGGAACAGCTTACGCTAACATACAGAGATGTAGATGAAAATATTTTACTGTACTAGGCACCAACAATTAGATCATTTGCATAGTTTAACTGGCAACACACAGGCAGTAAAAGCATCGGCATTGAGGTAAAACTAATGCAAATACATAATGACTATAAAAATCAGATAGCTATTGCTGCACTGTTTACCCTTGTGCTGCTCTGCTCTGTAACATCCCAAACATTGCATGGGAAGGGGGGGGGGGGGGGAGTATAAGACAATCATTTTATTAAATATTCAGAGGGAACTAAATAAAACAGCATAGCTTGTAAAGTAAAGGAGTGTGTTGTTTTTTCCCTCCTTGGGATATTGAAAGTAAACAGAGAGGGGTGGCAGGCTAGGACAAAACAAAACAGGCAGACCCCTGCTAGCCAGGAGCACAGACAGTGGCGCTGGCTGAAAAATGATGCATGCTGGAGGATATGTATCTGTAAAAAAATAAATGACCATAAAGGGGATGAATGACAGAGGGGATAATTGCAGGCCAAGCTCCCAGTAAAGAAGACGGCTTTGGGAAGTAGAGCAGCATCAGGGCCATCATTTAGACACTGACCTCAGCGGGGCAGAAATCACCTGGGGGGGGCAACCTTGAGGCCCGCAAGGGGAAGAGGGGGAAGGTAGAAAGAATCACAACTTTTCAACATGATTTCCAGCCTTTTGTTGCCTAGGAATAAAAGGGCCCGGACACTTTGTCAGGTTCCAGATGGTGGAGAAAGAACACCAGGCGATGCCAAAAGATATCTTCAGTGATGGATCGCTTCAGGAAGTGCCAGCTAGTTCGATTAGATACCAGGGGCGGACTGGTATCCACACCAGCCCACATCACTACCCACATCACAGGGAAAGTAAAAACTGATATGGTTGTAGAGTTGTGTTTATGTTTCTAAGGTTCCAAACATATGTTATTTTCTTACCCATTTAGTGACTAAATGACAGCATAGGTTTGAAATATATTTCTAGCTAGTCTTGGATGCTAGCCAGGGATAAGTTACAGGACAGGGGGCCTCACGAGTGGCGCAGCGGTCTAAGGCACTGCATCGCAGTGTTGCTGCGTCACTACAGCCTGGGGTTCGATCCCCAGCTGTGTCACGACCGGCTATGACCGGGAGTCCCATAGGGCGGTGCACAATTGGCCCAGCATCGTACGGGTTAGGGGAGGGTTTGGCCGGGGGGCTTTACTTGGCTCATCGCGTTCTAGCGACTCCTTGTGGTAGGCTGGGTGCCTGCAAGCTGACTTCGGTCGTCAGTTGAATGGTGTTTCCTCCGACACATTGGTGCAGCTGGCTTCCGGGTTAAGTGAGTGGGTGTGAAGAAGAAGCAGCTTGGCGGTCATGTTTCAGAGGACGGCAAGACAAGATTGTAATTGGATCGCAATTGGATATCACGAAAAAGGGGGTAATAAAATAAATAATAATAATTCAAATGTAAAAAAGTTACAGGAGAGAGGTGTGGTGCAGAAGCAATGTTACCTCTAAGCTGTGCGTGCGCAGCAGCCCCGAGACTGCCACACAGCTCCCCGCGTGCAGAAAAATCAGCCCACAGAGAGAAGCACCAGATTGAATTTCACTGAACATTCTAGAGCAGTGGTCAATCTCCAAGTCGTTCATAATCAATTGCCAAACATTTCTGTAAAAAACCCAACGATAATGTTGGCGGTAGGTGCTGCCCTTCGCGCCGGGTAGGTGAACTGTTGCCATTTTGAACCATTGCATGTATGTGAAGGTACAACCTCTGCCTCCCCAGCGGGCCCACAGAGCAAATCAAGTGCGCTATAGGCCTACCGCTGGCCAATCAGATGGCACAGATGACCGTGTCTGCAGTAACGTAGCAGGCATAAAAGAAAGCTACAGCAAAGTTGATACTGTGAGATTTTAAAATGTTTAAAACCATGACTAGAGAGAGACTGTCAACGAATATAGCAAAGAGATGCTGTCGTGTATGGGTGAGTTCATGTTTAAGTTTTTACTCAGCACTGTCAACACTTTGTATTAAACACTTTTACAAGCCATAAAATGTGCGGTTCTTCCTATTTCCACTCAGCGCTACAACAAGCACTGCAGCAGTAATGAATTAGTAGGAAAGTGTATCTATAGCAGTGGAGGCTCCTCAGAGGAGGAAGGGGAGGACCATCCTCCTCAGTGAATTTCATAAAAATAAAAATGTAAAACAATGAAAAAGTTATCCTTTTTAGATAAAACTATACTAAATATATTTACGTCACCAAATAATTGATTAAAACACACTGTTTTGCAGTGAAGGTCTACAGTAGCCTCAACAGCACTCTGTAGGGTAGCACTATGGTGTAGCCGGAGGACAGCTAGCTTCCGTCCTCCTCTGAGTACATTGATTTCAATACAAAACCTTGGAGGCTCTTGGTTCTCACCCCCTTCCATAGACTTACACAGTAATTATGACAACTTCCGGAGGACGTCCTCCAACCTATCAGAGCTCTTGCAGCATGAACTGACATGTTGTCCACCCAATCAAAGGAACAGAGAATGAATCTAGTACTGAAAGCATAAGCTACAGCTAGCTAGCACTTCAGTGCATAAAATATGGTGAGTAGTTGACTCAAAGAGAGAGAAAGACAATAGTTGAACAGTTTTCAACAAATTAATTTCTTCAAAAATGAAGGAGAAGCAAGAGAGAGAGAGAGGTTTCGTCATTTTTTTCACTTTCAGTTTCACTGACTTAGCTAGCAAATGCAGCTGGCTAGTTTAGTTACTCAAACACCCGGCTCAAACAGAGGGATGCTATGTTAGCTAGCTGGCTATGACTATCCAACACAACGCTGGAACTCTTCCAAGTCAAGGTAAGTTTTTGGTTTTATTAATTTATTGAATTTGTCACAGTCTGTCCGTGTGTCACTGTCTGTCATCTCAAATGTTTCTCTCGACCTGTGTGCACCTACGTTGTAAGCTTTCATTCATAGGATAGGTTGTAGCAACCTCATGATGGGTATAGGGAAAATTTGAGTATCATGTAGTAGCCTAAACCTATCGATGTTACATTGAACTGGGTGAATGGAATATGAATGACAGTCATCCAACATGCTGTAATAGGAATAAGGCCATGCTCATGAAAAAGAAAATCATCCTCCCTCATCATAAACGGCACTGACCGCCACTGATCTGTAGGCTTGTGTTGTTATTAGTAGCGGCTTGGGTCTTTTTAATATCGAGGAATATTTCGCATTCTCTGTTCATAAGAGTAACAACATGAATTTGTGCATGAGGCAGAAATAATGCAGTGCGACTCGAGTTTCGCAAGCTGGAAGACGGTGTCCCTTTTTGGTCAGTGTCCGTGGAGGAACGGGAGAGAGGATGGATGTTGAGAGGTGAACCCTTAGTCTGCTGCTCTCTCCCTCTGCTGAGACTGACCATCAGATGCAGGCAGTGGCGTGTATTCATGGATGCCAAGGGACTTGACCAATAAAAATAAAAGAAAATAAAAAATACAATAATTTATCTTTCGTCTCTGTGTTTCATAATTGTCCTTCAATTCGCAAGAGGCTGAATGTACAGTGGGGGAAAAAAGTATTTAGTCAGCCACCAATTGTGCAAGTTCTCCCACTTAAAAAGATGAGAGAGGCCTGTAATTTTCATCATAGGTACACGTCAACTATGACAGACAAATTGAGAAAAGAAAATCCAGAAAATCACATTGTAGGATTTTTTATGAATTTATTTGCAAATTATGGTGGAAAATAAGTATTTGGTCACCTACAAACAAGCAAGATTTCTGGCTCTCACAGACCTGTAACTTCTTCTTTAAGAGGCTCCTCTGTCCTCCACTCGTTACCTGTATTAATGGCACCTGTTTGAACTTGTTATCAGTATAAAAGACACCTGTCCACAACCTCAAACAGTCACACTCCAAACTCCACTATGGCCAAGACCAAAGAGCTGTCAAAGGACACCAGAAACAAAATTGTAGACCTGCACCAGGCTGGGAAGACTGAATCTGCAATAGGTAAGCAGCTTGGTTTGAAGAAATCAACCGTGGGAGCAATTATTAGGAAATGGAAGACATACAAGACCACTGATAATCTCCCTCGATAAAAAAAATTTAATAATAATAATTGGTCATTTAGCAGACGCTCTTTTCCAGAGCGACTTACAGGAGCAATTAGGGTTAAGTGCCTTGCTCAAGGGCACATCGACAGGTTTTTCACCTAGTCGGCTCGGGGATTAGAACCAGCGACCTTTTGGTTACTGGCACAACGCTCTTAACCACTAAGCTACCTGCCGCCCACGCAAGATCTCACCCCGTGGGGTCAAAATGATCACAAGAACGGTGAGCAAAAATCCCAGAACCACACGGGGGGACCTAGTGAATGACCTGCAGAGAGCTGGGACCAAAGTAACAAAGCCTACCATCAGTAACACACTACGCCGCCAGGGACTCAAATCCTGCAGTGCCAGACGTGTCCCCCTGCTTAAGCCAGTACATGTCCAGGCCCGTCTGAAGTTTGCTAGAGTGCATTTGGATGATCCAGAAGAGGATTGGGAGAATGTCATATGGTCAGATGAAACCAAAATAGAACTTTTTGGTCAAAACTCAACTCGTCGTGTTTGGAGGACAAAGAATGCTGAGTTGCATCCAAAGAACACCATACCTACTGTGAAGCATGGGGGTGGAAACATCATGCTTTGGGGCTGTTTTCTGCAAAGGGACCAGGACGACTGATCTGTGTAAAAGGAAAGAATGAATGGGGCCATGTATTGTGAGATTTTGAGTGAAAACCTCCTTCCATCAGCAAGGGCATTGAAGATGAAATGTGGCTGGGTCTTTCAGCATGAAAATGATCCCAAACACACCGCCCGGGCAACGAAGGAGTGGCTTCGTAAGAAGCATTTCAAGGTCCTGGAGTGGCCTAGCCAGTCTCCAGATCTCAACCCCATAGAAAATCTTTGGAGGGAGTTGAAAGTCCGTGTTGCCCAGTGACAGCCCCAAAACATCACTGCTCTAGAGGAGATCTGCATGGAGGAATGGGCCAAAATACCAGCAACAGTGTGTGAAAACCTTGTGAAGACTTACAGAAAACGTTTGACCTGTGTCATTGCCAACAAAGGGTATATAACAAAGTATTGAGAAACTTTTGTTATTGACCAAATACTTATTTTCCACCATAATTTGCAAATAAATTCATTAAAAATCCTACAATGTGATTTTCTGGAGAAAAAAATTCTAATTTTATCTGTCATAGTTGACGTGTACCTATGATGAAAATTACAGGCCTCTCTCATCTTTTTAAGTGGGAGAACTTGCACAATTGGTGGCTGACTAAATACTTTTTTTCCCCACTGTATCTCACAGGAGAAAGCATCCGAGCGAGCAAAACAGCGCCCCTCTATCTCTCTACGTGTTGGCCATCTATCTGATGCTGTCTGATCCAAACGAGTATGACATTGTTGCCGCCCATAGCATTGAATGCAAGGGAAGCTAGCAAGCATTTGGCCTCCCTTGATTAAAAAAAGTATACTGGATGCAGGCACCATCAGCCCAGTAAATTAAAAGTAAAAAGCAAGTTATTTAAATGTATGCTCACTCAGCTGTGCTTCACAAGTAATACAACAACGGACCTGTTATAATAGCCTACCTCAAATTTTGCAATTTAATTTAAATAAATGGCCGAACAAAAATGCATTGGCAGGGCAATTCAAGCTAAGCCAAAATGCATTGATAATGTATTGGGCCTATAGCTAACTGCACAAACCTCATTGCTACAGTACTGTTTTTAATTGGTTAATGTTGCATAGGCTTACGTTTTTTGTAATGTAAAAAATAATCTGAGCGGTAGATCTCGGCTTGCATTTTGACGCAAAGTCATCTTGACTCAGAAAAGGTGGGTGTCCACTGTTCTAGAGTTTTCCCTGTTAACACTATCAACGTTTCCCTTTACTGTGGCAATTGTGATCGAATCAACGCAATATTAGCCATTTAAACCGCTTGGAAAATTCCTTAATATGATGTCATGGCTTTAGAAGCTTCTGATAGGCTAATTAACATCATTTGAGTCAATTGGAGGTGTACCTGTGGATGTATTTCAAGGCCTACCTTCAAACTCAGTGCCTCTTTGCTTGACATCATGGGAAAATCTAAAGAAATCAGCCAAGACCTCAGAAAATAAATGGTAGACCTCCACAAGTCTGATTCATCCTTGGGAACAATTTCCAAACGCCTGAAGGTACCATGTTCATCTGTACAAACAATAGTACGCAAGTATAAACACCATGGGACCACGCATCCGTCATACCGCTCAGGAAGGAGACACCTTCTGTCTCCTAGAGATTAACGTACTTTGGTGCGAAAAGTGCAACTCAATCCCAGAACAACAGCAAAGGACCTTGTAAAGATGCTGGAGGAAACAGGTACAAAGGTATCTATATCCACAGTAAAACGAGTCCTATTTCGACATAACCTGAAAGGCCGCTCTGGTTTGATGAAACAAAAATAGAACTGTTTGGCCATAATGACCATCGTTATGTTTGGAGGAAAAAGGGGGTGGCTTGCAAGCTGAAGAACACCATCCCAACCGTGAAGCACGGGGGTGGCAGCATCATGCTGTGGGGGTGCTTTGCTGCAGGAGGGACTGGTGCACTTCACAAAATAGATCGTATCATGAGGAAGGAAAATTATGTGGATATATTGAAGCAACATCTCAAGACATCAGTCAGGAAGTTAAAGTTTGGTCGCAAATCGGTCTTCCAAATGGACAATGACCCCAAGCATATTTCCAAAGTTGTGGCAAAATGGCTTAAGGACAACAAAGTCAAGGTATTGGAGTGGCCATCACAAAGCCCTGACCTCAATCCTATAGAACATTTATGGGCAGAACTGAAAAAGCGTGTGCGAGGAAGGAGGCCTACAAACCTGACTCAGTTACACCAGCTCTGTCAGGAGGAATGGGCCAAAATTCACCCAACTCATTGTGGGAAGCTTGTGGAAGGCTACCTGAAACGTTTGACACAAGTTAAACAATTTAAAGGCAATGCTACCAAATACTAATTGAGTGTATGTAAACTTCTGACGCACTGGGAATGTGATGAAAGAAATAAAAGCTGAAATAAATCATTCTCTCTACTATTATTTGACATTTCACATTCTTAAAATAAAGTGGTGACTCTAACTGACCTAAGACAGGTAATTTCTACTAGGATTAAATGTCAGGAATTGTGAAAAACTGAGTTTAAATGTATTTGGCGAAGATGTATGTAAACTTCCTACTTCAACTGTAGCTATAGTGATCCATATTAGTCTGATTAATATTGTAAGGCAAAATATTGTGGTTGCAACATTGCGATGTTGACGCATGCTTTATTGTCATAAATATCGAACCTATAGCCTTATTTATTGAAAGACATTAACATTAAATTATGGCTGAAAGTAAATTTGTTGAAAGTAACGAGCAGTACAAACCATAAACATGGAAATAAGACAGATATTGCACTCTTCTCACCTGCCTTTACTTCCGTCCCCAGCCTGTGATACTTCGGCCCCACCGGCAGGTACAAAAGTAACGTTGCGGTAGTTCCGTTCTCTGACTATTTAATTTAAACTAATTTAACCTAGAAATGAAATTACAGTTGCTAATGGTAGAGGACATACGGTGGCTCTAGCTCTATCAATTGCTGAGTAAATAGGAAAGAAACAAAAAGTGTTACTTCGATACCAGTTCTCCCCTAGTGCTGAAACATAGCAAGGGCTGTACTGTACAGCGTTTCTCAACCATTTCTGTACCAGTGACTGGCGAGACATGGTTCTCCTCCTCTTTTGTATCCAGCTCATGTTTAAAACAAATACAATATGTAAAAACACCACCGGAGATACAACTCAGCACTATAACTGTGCCTCTGCTCTAGCCATTTTGTTTTCCTCCCTGTTGTGCTGTGTGTCTGTCTCAGTATCTTCTCTGCTGTCACTCTGTGCTTCTTCTAGTTCTCTGTCTGTCGGTCTGCTTCAGCCATGTACGTTATAAATGCCAAGCTAAATACTTAGGCTATACTGTCATATGTGTTTCCCTGAATCAACACCTACCCTCATTATGAATTACTAGGCCATTACAGGGGGCTGGCCATTCCCACTGGTGCCACTAACCTTTACAGTTCGTGGCACCAGCCCGGACCCAAGTCATTAGTAATCATCATATAAAGTCATTCATAGCGCTTTATTAAGAAGTATAATAAATAGACAACTGAGGTATTTAAGAAATAAGTTGTTTCATCTAACACATCCAGGAAAGCATGATTCTTTGATATTTTGATGTGCAACCTAATCCAGTGATTGTCATACATTTTTGGGTTGACAATTAGGCTATAGTTGCTATATTTTACTGCTAAAATAGGACTCCAAATGATGGTTTTAGCTGCCCAAAAAATAGGAAGTTCTGATTATATGTTTTTATAGAGATGGATTACATACACATGTATGTGCACTAAATAATATCATAGGCAAATTAATTTGGTGTTCAACACCTGTGGAAGTAGAAACTCAAAACACATTAACTAGATCGCTAACTCTAAATATAATACCCACTGGTAGTAGCCGTGTATTCATCCAACATTAAATGTAATGTCCTAAAAAAACTTGCAGTTGTAGGCTACTACCCATGAGACCTCTATAGGCCTATGTCCTCGCAATGGCCGGTGGGCATTTCATACGCTCACCGCTTCATATCTCAAAGCCATATCAAATATCTTGGTTGTAAAATAGTTGCTATTGAGCTGAATATCGAGAAAAATATATACCTACAGAAAGCTAAGACCCTCCTCGCTTCGACAGGAATAAGGGCACGAAGCTTCCAAAGGTGTGTTTTTTTTAAACATTTTGAAATGTTATATGATCAGAGCACATGTTTCTCTACAGCATATGGGGGGAGAGGAGAGTCACTCGCTCATCACAGCAGCAGGCCCCAGCTGTTTGACCAAATGATGGTTTTAGCCGCCCAAAAAATAGGAAGTTCTGAGTGAGGTGAAAATGTAGTGTGCTCTTCTACTTTTATAGGCACCCTTTGCTTTTGTTTTACAATCTATGATCTTGGCTGTCTAACTGATGACAGAGTCAGAGGAGGTCTCTTTGCTGATGCCGCATTTGACTTTGAATGTGAGTTTGCGTGACCTCAGCTCAGCCTACCATAAAACCGGGGACCGGCCATTGCCCACTGATCAGCCAAAGGCTCATTATATATTAGTATAAGAGAGAAATTGCATAAACATCTTTTAAAAAAGGCCCATTTGATTAGTTTTATTTTTATATACAGTATAAAAAAATATTTTGGTGTGTGTCAATTTCGACCAGCCCACCCAACAAAAAAATGGTCCAGCCCATCTGGCATTTGCCAGATGCCCAATCCAACCCTGTTAGATACCACTGGAGGAAGGACCTTTGAAACTAGTCCTTATGAAACCATGTTAACAGCTGTCATTTGTTGTTCGATGTTCTGTTGTAGACCGTGCAGTGGCAACCCTGTTTGCCACCTCACTGTTGTCACTTGAAAAATCAAAGGTATAATGAACAAGTACAGACACAGTGTGACAGTGGCATCAAAACCATGCGATTAGTGATCACCATTGCAGTGTAAAAAGAGTGTGTGGTTGGGGTGCTTTCACGAATTGTGTTTTTCCCATGCTCACATGCTGTGTTTGTGCCAAGACAACAGGCATATTTTTCCCCAGGGTCGGGGATAGTGGAGAGGCTGCAGTACGCTGGCTACCTGGGGCAGATCCACCGCAGCAGGGAGCCGACCACCATCCTCCACCAGGCGCTGGCCGAGCTCTCTGTCGTCCCCTACCTGTAGGACCTCAGCCACGCAGACATCACACTGGTAAACAACTAGCAGAGTCTCTGGCCAAAATTGTATACAGTTTTATATTACAGCCTACTTTGCACTGACTCATCCTCTGTACACTGACACACAACAGGATGCAGTGACCTCAGCATGACTCTGGTAATATCAGAGGAGATGCAGGGGTGGATAGAAGTTCTCTCTTGGGCCTGAGGTGCACTTTAACAGCACACAGGCAAAAAGACCTAGGCTAGTTTGTTTTAATAAAGTCTTAAATTATGCACGCCAATAAGCAGGGCTTTGTTTTTAATATTTATGAGTCGGGAGAAATCAGCAAAGCAAAGGCTGGGTCTTGTGTGTGTGTGTGTGTGTGTGTGTGTGTGTGTGTGTGTGTGTGTGTGTGTGTGTGTGTGTGTGTGTGTGTGTGTGTGTGTGTGTGTGTGTGTGTGTGTGTGTGTGTGTGAGAGAGAGAGAGAAAATGGAGGAGGTGATGTACGTAGATCTCATTTGGGTATACAGTGTGCTGTGCTGCTGAAGCTCTATAATTGCTTCTTCACTAGATTAGTGCTGCGCAGTGGTGAGATTAACCCAGATCAATTGCAGCGTGATGGCTGTAATATTGCAACCAAATCTGCCATGAATAGAGAACCAGGGAAGGGGGGCTTCTAATTAGATCCATGTTTGTGTAGGCAACAACAACAGCCATGACAGTTTCTACTACTTCAGATAGTACTGTATACGTTAAAGGGTCGCCTGCCACATACACTGGGGCCATGATGATGTGCTTCCTTTTAACATGATGTGCCTCCTTTCCAAAACAATTATATTTCTGTCTGAGTGAATTAGTTTAAATACCCAGTCACAGCTCTTGTAGTGCATGTAAATGGATAGTTCCACGCAGTCGCTCAGTATTGGGAGCCTGGGAGTGTGTGAGCCACTGTGCTGTTAGTAGTTCTCCTTTGAGTTTCCAGTGGATGTCCAGCCGGAGACCAAAACTAACACAGTTTTACCGGCAAGCGCCCTCTCTATCAGGAGATTTAATAATTCAGAACACATGCTGCAGGTTGGTGAATTGCCCTCAGAAAAGTCTCCTATGTCTGGAGAAATGGAAGGGGGAAAGTATTTCTGCCTAAAAACAAGTGGTGAAAGCAGATGCATCCGCCACAGTCAGACCTTCATACAACAATATGTCATATAGGCCATTTAGCAGATGCTTTTATCCAAGTGTGTGTGTTTGTGTGTGTGTGTGTTTGTGTGTGTGTGTGTATTCCTGTATGAGTGTGTGTGTGAATACTGGGCTGCCCTCCTCTCGGCCATCTCTCCTGACATCACACACAGTGCTGCAGATGAATGGGCTCCAGTGTACAGCCCCATGTATATTACCTCCTCCCATGCACCTTGATGGACAAGTGCTGTTTGACCATTTGTACACATTGTCTCCCCCTCGCCCGCCACTGCCGTAACAGGCCCCAGCACCCAGGCTTCTGACCATGTAGAAAAAGACAACATGGCAGCCCTCATTGTATGAGGAATGAGTTATAAAAATCAGCATCTAACAAATTATTTTTTAATTAGCTTTTAAGTCTGTGTGTTTGGAGAAGTTATTGCTGGTGTGTGAATTGTGCTCTGATAATCTTTATCTCGGGCCCACAGCTGCAGGCTCTAATGGCAGACACCATGAACACCCTTGAAGAAAGGCGGACTGATAGAGAACGTGTATGGAATGAAATGCAAAAGGTAAATAGAGAGAAGGGGAAAAGGACAATGAGAGCGAGGAGAGGACAAGAGGATAGAAATACCAACGTCTACACTGTACCCTCCAAACACAGACTTAGCATTCTCCCGGCAAAATCAAAATAACGATTTGACATATAAAATCAGGAAAGATAATGTACATTTTGTGTGGGGATATCCTTGTGGCATGCCTGTCATCTCTGTTAAGATTAACAATGCCTACTAAACTTTGAAATGGCATGGCTCACAGGAGGGAGAGGCCCATAACAAATGTTCAGGCCAAATTATTTTCTTTGTTAATTAGTGAGACTTTGGCATTTCATCTCACTACGTACATAGTGCTGCAAACAACCCTGGCTGTAAAGTTACTGAAATACTTTCATGCACATTAGCGTATAAACATCAAGCCGTCTTGGGCTGGAGCCTCGATGGACGGCTGGAAATCAAAGAGAAATCACATTACAATATCCCTGATTGCATTTCCATGCTCTCTCTCTCTCTCTCTTGGGGAGTTGTTGCCTGGTGCCTGGTTGGTATGGGACTGAGCAGTGGAGAGGGAGGGGATACAGGCTGCAGTCAGGAGGGAGGCAGCAGGGCAGCCATGGTTAATGATGAATGGGGGCGCAGGGCAGTGCATCACTGGGTCAGTCTCTCTCACACCCAGCGGAGCATGACCACAGCCGTTAGTGATAGGCCGAATTAATCATGCCATCAGGTCTCCCCAATACACCCAGCACACATACCCCCAGACACACATATCGGCACACACACATTCTCACACCTTAAATGCCCACTGCCACAGGCTGTGAACCTAGCGCTGGTGGATGGGTCTTTTTCACTCCCTATCTGACCCATATGTCCTTCCCATGCAGGGTCTGCCAAACTGAGCAGGAGATGGTTGGGCTGGGGAAATGTTTATGTTTCAATGTTTAAACATGTAATCACCGTAATGGATACAGTAATAGGTGTAATGTACTTGAATTATTCAATAGGACATTACCGTACACCATTTCAATATTAAACTGATTTTCACTGAAAGGTGAAACTACATTATTGGTCAGTCACCCTGAATTTATTGTGCATGTTGAATTGACATTGTAATTTACCGTCATTGTAGAGGGTGTAATTTTTGTTGTTATCTGGAGTGTCTAAAATCAGTTGTTAAACTGAGAGACATAGGGCCATAAGGTTGTGGAGGAAAATCGGAGCACTGCAAAAAATGTAGGCTACCCTATAATCCACTCTATCACTCAAGTATTTTATAGCCTGTGCTAGCATACATACACAAATACACTCTATAAAATTGATTCAATTTAGGGGGGGGGGGGGGGGGGGGGGGGGGGGGGGTTGTTCTAAGATGGCTTATGGAATTGTTTTAGGATGGTCACACCAAGGATTATGTGGCTATTTGATTTTGAATTTTAAGGCCATTAAAGGTATATATTTTGGGGGGGGTCATTAATTTCGCATTACTGCTATTAGCCAATAGAAACGCATGGAATAACAGATTCACTACATGAAACAACAGATAGTCCCATGTATTTATCCCCTTATTTTAGGCACTAAACTATCTCCATATATACTTCCATTAAAACCATCATGTTTGTGAGAGTCTCATCTGTCAATAGAGTGGTCGTAATCGTTTTTAGGCCAAACCGTTCGGACGCTACATACGATTTTGTGGGATGTCTCATGGTCTGACAAACACTGCTCTAGCTCTGCCACCTTTCACTGCAGATGCAGAAGGGCGATATCAGCAGATGCAGTGGATTGAGACGCAGCCCATGCAACAAAAAAAAAGAGAAACACTACATGACCAAAGGTATGTGGACACCTGCTCGTCGAGCATCTCATTCCAAAATCATGGGCATTAATATGGAGTTGGTCTCCTGTTTGCTGCTATAACAGCCTCTACTCTTCTGGGAAGGCTTTCCACTAGATTTTGGAACATTGCTGCGGGGACTTGCTTCCATTCAGCCACAAAAGCATTAGTGAGGTCGGCACTGATGTTGGGCGATTAGGCCTGGCTCGCAGTCGTCGTTCCAATTCATCCCAAAGGTGTTCGATGGGGTTGAGGTCAGGGCTCTGTGCAGGCCAGTCAAGTTCTTCCACACCCAATCTTGACAAACCATTTCTGTATGGACCTCGCTTTGTGCATGGGAGCATTGTCATGCTGAAACAAGAAAGGGCCTTCCCCAAACTGTTGCCACAAAGTTGAAAATACAGAATTGTCTATAATGTCATTGTATGCTGTAGCGTTAAGATTTCCCTTCAATGGAACTAAGGGGCCTAGCACGAACCATGAAAAACAGCCCCAGATCACCAAACTTAACAGTTGGCACTATGCATTCGGGCAGGTAGCGTTCTCCTGGTATCCGCCAAACCCAGATTCGTTCGTCGGACTGCCAGATGGTGAAGCGTGATTCATCACTCCAGAGAACGCATTTCCACTGCTCCAGAGTCCAATGGCAAGCTTTACACCCCTCCAGCCGATGCTTGGCATTGCACATGGTGATCTTAGGCTTGTGTGCAGCTGCTCTGCCATGGAAACCCATTTCATGAAGCTCCTGACGAACAGTTATTGTGCTGCTGTTGCTTCCAGAGGCAGTTTGGAACGTGGTAGTGAGTGTTGCAACCAAAGACAGACGATTTTTACGTGCTACGAGCTTCAGCACTCAGCGGTCCCCTTCTGTGAGCTTGTGTGGCCTACAACTTCGCGGCTGAGCCGTTGTTGCTCCTAGACATTTCCACTTCACAATAACTACACTTACAGTTAACCGGCCAGCTCTAGCAGGGCATACATTTGACGAACTGACTTGTTGGAAAGGTGGCATCCAATGATGGTGCCACGTTGAAAGTCACTGAGCTCTTCAGTAAGGCCATTCTATAGCCAGTGTTTGTCTATGGAGATCGCATTGCTGTATGCTCGATTTTATACACCTGTCAGCAACAGGTATGGCTGAAATAGCCGAATCCACTAATTTGAAGGGGTGTCCACATACTTTTATACATATAGTGTATCTCTAGCTTAAAACAGACGGATTTTGATGGGGATTTTTAATTCGATTTTTGTGCGGGCGCGACCATTGTAGGGTTAATTACACGTTGGATGGTGTATCAATACACCCAGTCACTACAAAGATACAGGAGTCCTTCATAACTCAGTTGCCGGAGAGGAAGGAAACCGCTCAGGGATTTCACCATGAGGCCAATGGTGACTTTAAAACAGTTACAGAGTTTAATGGCTGTGACAGGACAATAACCTAAAGCACAAGGCCAAATCTATGAATACTTTCTGAAGGCACTGTATGCCTGGCGCTTTTTGCTTCATGTATCCTGAGAGTGGCAATCAACCTTTTCTCAATACCATAATTTATTGAGTGTGGCTGCTCCAGAAATATTAGAGGTGGCAAGTTCATTCTCTCTCCTCCTCGGCTCTCTTCAACTCGCATAAATCAGCAGGGCATTAACTGAGAAATAAATGACGACTTGATTCTGTAACAGCAAGGTCTGCATACACATAGATTTTCCTGTTTGTTTTTAGCCAGTCAATATAAGACATTGGCCCTTGCTGTAAATTCCATTACATAAAAATAAGTGCACTTTCCCCAGTTCCGGCAGACGGGTGGCATCAATGTTTTCCGCTCCATAAAATATCTATAAGAAATGTGGAATGCGCCGCAGCACTGCAGTGTTTTACTCAAACGTCCAACTCTATTTCCAACCCCTCTCTGGAAAGATGGAAAAGCTTACGATCAGTGTATATGTGAGTGCTTGTACAAGAGTCTGTGCTCAAACAAAGCACAAAGGAAAACTAGAAAGTAGTTTAAAACTGTGACTCACCATCAAGTTTCATTTCTATTGATTTATTGACACTGTAACATTAAAAAGGTCACTAAAAGGGGCCACACCCTATTGTTTGGACTGGGCTGCATTGCATATATGAATACATTTGAGTGTCAGTCAATAGGGTAACACTCCACACATGTCCCTAATCGCCCCCCCTTTCCTACCCAGCCCCTTTGTTTTCATCCCCGTGGTGATGAGGGCTGACAGGTTTGACGGACACTTTGACAGGCGTCATATCACAGCTCAGCTCCAGCAACACGGCACGGCAGCCTCTGTAGATAGATAGCACAGCCACAATACCGTCAGCCCCGGGCCCTGGGCCATCTGAAGATGCTGCTGCTTTTCATATACAAAGTGGTGCAGATGCATCCCGCACACTAATAGAGAGGCTAACTGAGGGTGAGAAAGTGCAGGACGAGGGTGAACTGGTCGATGTCTCAGCCCCACATCTCCTGCTCTGAGTTGAGGTGAATCCCCAGGGTATGGCTGTGGAGGTGGGTCTCAGATCCCACTAATAGAAACACAAACCCCAGCATCATCACCACCATCAGACTGACTCCTCTGTCAGTCACAACACACACATCTCTTTCATCTTTTATCTCCCTCTATCTCCATCTTTCTCTTTCAGTCTCACTCGTTCTTTTATCTCCCACCTCTCTCTCTCCTTCTCTCTCACCTCCACCTCACTTTGAGTGCTCCCTCTCCATCTTTCCCCCGTTCCCCAAATAGGTTTTTCTAAATTCATCTCTTCATCATACATTCACTTTCATATTTCACTCCCTTTCTCCCCCTCCCTTTCTCCGGTATGAGCTCAGGCTGGGCACAGTAAATTCCCATGCCAAGCCTTCACCTCACAAATGAATGAGGGAGGTACAGGCCAAACCCCTACATCTCTACCAGGTAATTACATCCCTGGTGGGTTGGAGAGGAGAGGAGAGGAGAGAAGGGGGCTGGGCTACTGGGCTCGGCTCACAACACACAACCTCCTCTGGAAAATCTGTTTACATGTGAAAAGTGTTCGTTATTGCTTATAACACACTGTGACTTCTTTTGTGTTTTTAATTGTTTTTCTGCTCAGGTGGGGATACTGGAGGATCTGTTGTTCCAACTGGAGGAGACCTATCTGAAGAACAAGGCTCAGAGGGCCAGAAGGAAGCAGAGGACTGGGGCCCAGGGGGTGGAGGGAAAAGCCCTGGGAAGACCCAAAGCAGAGGCCAAAGGAGGGGCTACAGTGGAGACGGACAAGGCCAAGGGCCCTCCCACAGCAGTAGCACCAATGACCTTACCAGATCCAGGATCTGACGGCCAGGATAGTGGAGACCCGCCCTCATCCTCAAAATGAAGGAACATTTTCCCTCTCTCCCTCTCACTCTCACAAAGCCTCATCTTCAGCCCGAGCATCTTTCACACCATTACTCTAGGCTGGCAGAAATAAATGGACTCTACAGCCTTGCTTCCTCTTTGATTTAGGGTCTCTTTTTTTTAACACTCCTCCTTGTTTACACGTTAATATACAGTGTCTCCAGCCCCGCACTCTAGATGAAAGACCTAGCTGATTCAAATGTGTGGGAGTGTTCAATTTATGCATAAGGATATGTTTTCAGGTTGCGAGTACTAATGTAAAGCAGCCTAACGTCTGGTTTGTAAACACACAAAAAAACATATGGCAGAAAATCTGGCTTCAGATTTTGTGTGATGTTTTGAAAACTGTGTCTAACATTAAACAACCTTCATTAAGTCATGACATTATCTTTCTCATCATGTATGGTTAGCTACCAAGGAATACAAAACCTTTTTCCATAGGTCACTCAACCCTTGGGGGGAAAAGGAAACAGATAGGGATAAAACAAACATCCTTCTTCCTCAAGTAGCTAGCTTCACTTTGTGCACAGTATGATGACCATGTTACTACAGTCTCGAGGTTTCCAGTCATTTCAATGCCAAAGGTGCAGTTTGGGGATTGATCAGGCAGGGCAAAACCTTGTGAGTAAACACAATTAGTGGGGCCTTCGTCATTCACGTGCCCACTGCTGGTCCATCGACTGGCCGGTCAGCACCTGCTTCCTCTATGACAGCCAATCACAGGCGTTCAATGCTATCGACAGCTGCTCTCTCTCTCTCTTCTCTCTTTCCCTATCTCTCTCACTCTCCCTTACTGCTGCTGAATAATCCACATTTCCCTATACCTGAGGATTCATTCAGGGGCTTGTACTCTACAGTACCTGAATATCAGTGTTTCTCTTTCTTTCCCTCTCCCTCTCTCTCTCTCATCCCACCCTCCATCTGTCCCTTGCTGCTTCCCTTTCCCTTCAGACAGGTGTGTAATACCTTGGGGATTCTGGTGACACCTGAGCCGGCATGAGCAATGTTGTGATCAGCAATATGGTCATGCATTAATTTAATCCCTGAATAAATTAATGGTATTTATTGAGTGGTCAGGGAGAAAATGTTGGCATTGTACTTATACCCCTTGATTTTCACGAATTTGTGTAGTGCTGTTTATATGGAAATGGTTAAAATGGAGATATAGGAATTTTGCTGAGAGATTATATTTTATTAGTATCAATTAAGTCAGTTTAAATGTAGGCTTTGGTGCTATTATTCTTTACAATTCCACTAATTACTTTTACCTACTATGGTTAGTTATTAGGGGTTCACAGCGAAGCTGCACTAAGAAACTAGAGGCCATGAGAAACTTGGTAAACAAGAATGGCACAGATTGGCCAATAGTGGGCGCCGTTATAAGCAGTCTCACTTAAACCCTGTAATATTTGGAGACGCTTTCTCTCCGTTGGGTCAGACGCGAACTGGCTGAATCGATTCAGTGGCTAGCTTTGCACTTAACTGGCTAACAGTAGCTACTAAGGGTAAGTTATAACCTACATTTATTTTTGTTTTGTTTTTACATACTGGTAACCAGAGTCGTTCAAGGGAATTTGGGACATGGGTGACTAGTTAACATTAGCTTGGTTCTCTCTGTGTGTTTCGTGCCATGGGAGGAGGGGTTGGTTCGTTGGCAGAGAGCAATGGCTAGCTAGTATGCTAACTATTCTAGCTAACTAACTGGCTGAATAAGTTGACGACGTACTCACTCAAACTGTCAAAACTAACCCAAAACTTTACACAACGTTAGACACGGACACGAATGATCTGTTTGGCGTGTTAACACACTGGTGGTTTGTTGTAACCGAGTATTGGTGCTAAACCGTGTTATTGGAGGCTGGCATGCTAGTTGGCTATGGCGTCATAGGATTCGGTGCCCTGGAAGGTTTTCACGGAAGAATACTGTACCAAGTTAGCTAGCTGAATAAACTAAGTTAGAGTCTATTCCTAGAAAACATTGAACCACTGTAGTTTACAACAATTATAATTTCTAAAGTGGAAGTTGGGAGAGTTATATTTGAGTGTTTCAGTGAAACATAAGAGAGGGAGGCCCCGCTCTCTCGCTTTGTTTAGTTAATTTCATTCCGATCTCCTTTGCATTATTGTAGCCTTTTTCTGTAGCCTGCAAACTATGTGTCTGTCTATCCCTGTTCTCTCCTCTCTGCACAGGCCATACAAACGCTTCACACCGCGTGGCTGCTGCCACTCTAATCTGGTGGTCCCTGCGCGTACGACCCACGTGGAGTTCCAGGTCTCCGGAAGCCTCTGGAACTGCCGTTCTGCGGCCAAAAAGGCAGAGTTCATCTCAGCCTATGCTACCCTCCAGTCCCTCGACTTCTTGGCGCTGACGGAAACATGGATTACCACAGAAAACACTGCTACTCCTACTTATCTTTCCTCGTCTGACCATGTGTTCTCGCATACCCCGAGAGCATCTGGTCAGCGCGGCGGTGGCACAGGAATCCTCATCTCTCCCAAGTGGACATTCTCTCTTTTTCCCTTGACCCATCTGTCTATCTCCTCATTTGAATTCCATGCTGTCATAGTCACTAGCCCATTCAAGCTTAACATCCTTGTCATTTATCGCCCTCCAGGTTCCCTTGGAGAGTTCATCAATGAGCTTGACGCCTTGATAAGTTCCTTTCCTGAGGATGGCTCACCCCTCACAGCTCTGGGTGACTTTAACCTCCCTACGTCTGCCTTTGACTCATTTCTCTCTGCCTCCTTCTTTCCACTCCTTTCCTCTTTTGACCTCACCCTCTCACCGTCCCCCCCTACTCACAAGGTAGGCAATACGCTTGACCTCATCTTTACTAGATGCTGTTCTTCTACTAATCTCACTGCAACTCCCCTCCAAGTCTCCGACCACTACTTTGTATCCTTTTCTCTCTCGCTCTCCTCCAACACTACTCACTCTGCCCCTACTCAGATGGTAATGTGCCGTCACAACCTTCACTCTCTCTCTCCCGCTACTCTCTCCTCTTCCATCCTATCATCTCTTCCCTCTGCTAAATCCTTCTCCCTCCGATCTCCTGATTCTGCCTCCTCAACCCTCCTCTCCTCCCTTTCTGCATCTTTTGACTCTCTATGTCCCCTATCCTCCCGGCCGGCTGGGTCCTCCCCTCCTGCTCCGTGGCTTGATGACTCATTGCAAGCTCACAGAAGAGGGCTCCGGGCAGCTGAGCGGAAATGGAGGAAAACTAGACTCCCTGCGGACCTGTTATCTTTTCACTCCCTCCTCTCTACATTCTCTTCCTCTGTTTCCGCTGCTAAAGCCACTTTCTACCACTCTAAATATCAAGCCTCTGCCTCTAACTCTAGGAAGCTCTTTGCCACCTTCTCCTCCCTGCTGAATCCTCCTCCTCCTCCCCCTCCCTCCTCCCTCTCTGTGGATGACTTCGTCAACCATTTTGAAAAGAAGGTTGACGACATCCGATCCTCATTTATTAAGTCAAATGACACCGCTGGTCCTGCTCACACTGCCCTACCCTATGCTTTGACTTCTTTCTCCCCTCTCTCTCCAGATGAAATCTTGCGACTTGTGACGGCCGGCCGCCCAACATCCTGCCCGCTTGACCCTATCCCCTCCTCTCTTCTCCAGACCATTTCCGGAGACCTTCTCCCTTACCTCACCTCGCTCATCAACTCATCCTTGACCGCTGGCTTTGTCCCTTCCGTCTTCAAGAGAGCGAGAGTTGCACCCCTCCTCAAAAAACCTACACTCGATCCCTCTGATGTCAACAACTACAGACCAGTATCCCTTCTTTCTTTTCTCTCCAAAACTCGTCTCTAGCCAACTCTCCTGCTATCTCTCTCAGAATGACCTTCTTGATCAAACCAGTCAGGTTTCAAGACTGGTCATTCAACTGAGACTGCTCTTCTCTGTGTCACGGAGGCTCTCCACACTGCTAAAGCTAACTCTCTCTCCTCTGCCCTTATCCTTCTAGACCAATCCGCTGCCTTTGATACTGTGAACAATCAGATCCTCCTCTCCACCCACTCCGAGTTGGGCATCTCCGGCGCTGCTCACTCTTGGATTGCGTCCTACCCGACAGGTCGCTCCTACCAGGTGGCGTGGCGAGAATCTGTCTCCGCACCATGTGCACTCACCACTGGTGTCCCCCAGGGCTCAGTTCTAGGCCCTCTCCTATTCTCTCTATACACCAAGTCACTTGGCTCTGTCATATCCTCACATACGCAGACGACCAGAGCATATGAGCGGAGTGGAGCGGTGAGAATCTCAGCTCCTCGCTCACGGAGCTGTTCACCCTTCCGCTCCCCCCGCTCAAAGCCACATCAGGCCAGTCCGCTCATTATCGCTCAGCGCTCAACGCAGTTTGCATCGCGCTCCACTCAAATCGCCCCCCGCTCACTCCAAAAAAGGAACAAAATCTGCATGTATTTCACTTTTAGTTTAAACCACAGCCTTACTTTATCTCCCCGAATTTGTTGCATACAGACTCATCTCGGATTATCCATTCTGTCTTGAAACGGGGATCTAACACTGACGCTAAAATGAGATGTTAATCAGTATAGTATATTCCATAGCGAATTGACACGTTGTTTGCCAATGTTTCTGCAAAAGCAGCGATGCCCATTGGAAGTGCAGCGTGAGTGTAATCGGTGAGCAGGGATTTGATTTCTGTGACAGCAGGGAGGATCATCCCCAGGTTCCCCAGCGCCTTCTGCATTTTGTCTGTGAGGTCTGCTAGTGGTGTCAGCACACTGACAAGGTGCGTCAGCTGCCGTACTTGATTCAGGGTGATGTTAGCAACATTAGACTTGAGTTTGTTTTACCATAACGGGTCTTTTTGGAACAACCAGATGAACGACTGAATCATCCGCAGCTGGCTGCTCCATCGAATGGCGCAGGCATTTGTGGGGCGAACACCTAATTGGTCGGTTTCCTCTGGGCTCTTGCGTACACTTTTCACCAGGTGCCCGACTTTCACTAACAGC